ACTACCTGGCATGTGTTCAGGGGGAAACTAATCTAAAGAGTCAGTGAATGGAGAGTAACTTTTCAGCCTCTGGAGATAGCCTGAAATTGGAAATGAGACCTCATTGTCTCCTAATATGTAAAAGTTGGCTGAGAGTCCAAGCCAATGTAAGATTAATGAGACAGTTCCCAAGACTTTCAACTCTAAGAATTTCTTAGTAACAATAAGTTATGCTTTTAGCATCCATTAACTGATGAAATGCATGACAGAAAGCCTCCTTGAACTCAGTAACATTTAAAAATAAATTAATATTATTTACTCTTTATATCTAACAGAGTATCTGTAAATCACACCTCCTCTTATAATCCTTCACTGGATTCCTAAGGCTTTAGGATAAAATAAAACTCTTTATCACAGCCTTTAAGGTCCTGTGAGACCTGCCTCCTGTCCCGCTTTGTGTCACTCTCCTGTCCCTTTCCTTTTTGCTCACTTTATGCTTCAGCTACAGAGATCAGGTGCATTCCACCTTCTGGAATTCTGAAAGCAGGTTGACTTTGTATTAATAGCTTGAAATTGGGTATGGCAGGAGTATTTATACCATGGAAATTGGCAAGCACTACAAACCACAGCTTTTTTTTCTTTTCCCTGGAGTGCCAGTTTCCCAGCACACTATTATATATAGCTAATACTTTAGAGGCTAACAGTTTGATGATGACAAATCAATAGAACTAGCACAAAATAACCAAATTACTCTTATTTCAAAAGCCACAAACTGGGGCCATGGAAGATAAAGTTTTGTTTTGTTTTGTTTTAAATGGATTATTTGTTCACAGAAGCAGACAAGAAAGATCAAAATCAAGATCTTTGTGTTTGCCTCTCACACCTCCCAGGTCAGACTGCTGATTTCTTGCAAAATGTTGTTAAAATATGTACTCTGGGTTGGAGCAGAAGGCCACATGCTGGAACCTGTGATAGTAGCTCTCTCAACTCCCATGCTAATAATGCAGTTAATCTGACCTCATATGCAGCATCAGATCTGAGTTACAGTGAATGTTTTAGACTATTTCTTTGGGAAAAGAAAAAGATTCAAGGAAGATTTAGGTGGAAGCATTGGTTGATTATAATTTATAGATTATGTTGGAGCAAGAGGAGATGAATGAGAGTTGACCTATGTTTTTGTGTCCTTCAATGGGAAACATTGGAAAATTACATGAAAATGTATGGCTTTAGGTATTACTGCAACTCCCAAGAACAACTTTCAGTTACTACACAGAGGTACAAGATTTCTATCTGGTTGTCAAGGCAGAGATAGAATATTTGTGCTATTCCAGAGGCAAACATATTATTGGACAGTACCTCTTTGAAGGGATAAATGATAAGACATAGGTACTGTATTTCTCAGTTTGTATTGAAGTGACACAAAAGTATATGTATGAAAGCCTCAAGTTTGTTTTTGAAGAGACTTGAGATTGAATGTTTGCCATTTGAGAAGCAAAAACCACCTGAAATTCCTCTCTCTTCCTCCCCACCCCGACACTTTTGATAAACATTTGGAAATTTGGATAATTTGAAGGGATTGTGTTAGATCTCATTGTGCCATCCTTTTAATGTCTTCATAAAATAGGTTAATAATACTGTTTATGAGACTGGAGAAAATGGCTTTCTTCAATCATCTGAAAGTCATTTAAGTATTCCTAGGAAGAGAGATTTATTTATAATCTTACAACATTTCTAGGGCTTATATTTTTTTATAGAGTACTATTAATATTTCCAAGGGTAAGATACCATCTGCAGCTAGACATACCAGGATCCTGAGATTGATAACACCTGATCTTTGTTTTATTAGAAAATATGAACCTATCGATGGCCTCATCCTCTGACCCAAACAAAGTAAAATTTAGTGAAGAGAATGTTATCAATTTGATTAAAATTAATTTTATGAAAATAAAGTAAGTTCTGGTATTTGGAAAAAATAATCCTAGAACAATAAGTGAGTTCCTTTGGAGGTATTACTGATGTTGTTGAGGTTAGGAATGGTGAAGATAATTAGAATCTCAAGAAGATCATGATAGGTGAAATCAGTCAGAAAGCTAAAAGCCATACCATTTTATTCATATGTGGAATATAAAACTGAAACTCACAGACACAGACAGTAGTATGGTGGTTACCAGAGGAAAGGGGGTGTGGGTAAAAGGGGCCAAATATATGGTGTTGGAAAATGATTTGACTTGGGTGTTCAGCACACAATGCAATGCATAGATCTTGTATCATAGAAATGTATATTTGAAACCTATATGATCTTATTAACCAACTTTACCCAAATAAGTTTAATTAAAAGTTTAAATAAAGGAAAGAAGGGAGGAAGGAAGGAAGGAAGGAAAGGAAAGCTCATGAAAATCATAGATGGGGACAAAGTTTTATGTCTGGTGTTGAAGACTCAAGAAAATCAACTCTTGCCCTGGCTGGCGTAGCTCAGTGGATTGAGCGCGGGCTGTGAACCAAAGTATCGCAGGTTCAATTCCCAGCCAGGGCACATGCCTGGGTTGCAGGCCACGGCCCCCAGCAACCGCACATTGATGTCTCTCTCCCTCTCTCTCTCTCTCTCTCTCTTTCTCTCTCTCTCTCTCTTTCTCTTTCTCTCTCTCTCTCTCTTTCTTTCTCCCTCCCTTCCCTCTCTGAAAATGAAGAAAAAAGAAAATCTTAAAAAAAAAAAAAAGAAAATCATCTCTTTACCTCAGGAGAAATAAAGTCTTGGCAATCCAGATTAAAAAGAATACAGCTAAGTAGCCCCATTAAACTAAGGTGAAGATTTTACAAATAGGTTTTTTAAATAGAGCCTATCTGAAGTCCTTAATCACTGGCCATCTATTACCTTCTCTTTATTAGGGTAAAAATTCCTGACAGTATTTAAATGCAGGCTGTGTGAAAGAGAATCTATTAAAAAAACAACATTGACTATACCAGTAACAGTCAACCAATAGTAAATATCTATAGCTAAATAATTATTTAAATGAGCAATAGCTTTTTATTTTTCCTAATAGCATGATTATTTTTTTATAAACTAACTTTAAAATTTAAAAAAATCAATATAAAAGGAATTCTCATTCTAGAAAATTTTGTAGAGAAAAGTAGGAAGAAAAAGAATATTATTCTGTCACCAAAAGCAACTGAAACCAAGTGTCAATGTCTTATTTTTCTTCTGATACTATTTCAAGTCATAATTGTATATTCCAATCCTACCCTTTCTACTGCTACTGCTGCAATCACCACTACTACCAGCTTTATCCTCCAACATTTACTGAAAGTAACTGTATTTTCACTGGCCCTTACATATAATTCTGTTAGGTTGGTAATTCATAAAATGCCATTGTACAAGTGATGAAATGGAAAGTCAGAAAAGTAGGACAACCTGGTCAAGGTATGATAGCGGGCAAGGCTCAGATTGGGTTCTGCAGACATGTAATGACTTCAAAATTATTTTCTTTACACCATCACATGCCTGCTTTCTTATTCTAAAATAATTATGTGTTCTGCATTTGTACTTTAAAAATGGTACAAGAATTTCCCCATGCCATTAACACTCTTTATAAACATAATTTTATTTGCATTATAACAGTCCATTTTACACATATTTTCCATATTGATGCATTGTAATTGTTTTCATTTTTGAGTTTTTAATTAAATTTATTGGGATGATATTGGTTAATAGGATCATAGTGGTTTCAAGTGTAGATTTCTATGATACATGATCTATATATTGCATTGTGTTCCCACCACCCAAAGTCAATCATTTTTGTCACCATGTATTTGGCCCACTTTTCACTTTACTGCACCCCTTACCTCCTAATTTCTTGAAAAGAAATCATTATAAAACATGATGTGTGAAGGCTAGTCCAATCAGACTGAGGCCTCGTGAAAAGCCACCTAGAAACAGGCAGGGCTGATGCTTTAGTTGGTATTCACAGGTCATTTAGCTGAAAGCCACTTGCTAAGCAAATGTGGACAGGGATCAGCTTATAGTCAAATGCGTTTCAAGTTTAGACTTTTAATATAAAATCCCAAATGTGTTGCTTCCCTTCTATGTTACTATTGTCTCTGCTTTCATTTTATAGTTTCTGACTTCTCTGATGGTATTCTGATTATGTGATCTTCTGATATTTTGTATTCTTAGGAAGCCATTTGGAGCATCTTATCTCAGTGAATCAAATTATCACCATCTTTTAAGTTCTACAAAACTTTCCTGCTAAACACTGAATCCCAATTACAGAATTTGTAAATATTTTTCCCCTGACTACCCATTTAATCCTATATCTAACTTACGTTATGTTTGAAACACCTTGTTCAGTAGAGTTTTATCTTTGGAGGTACCTCAATTTTAGTTGCTTAAGGAAATAAATATTCTCTACAGAAGGATGAGAAATGGAGAAAACCGGTTACATTTCTACCAGTTGTATCAAACAACTAATTAGGAATCTGATTTTTACCATTTTTTTTCCTTGAACACCCATACTATAACTAGTACTGGAGTAGATAGATGGTAGGAATAGAGTGAAGAAAAAAAAACAACTAAAAATGATACCTCCCTTCATGGAGCACAAAGTCTAGTAGAAGAGGCATAACACATCCTGCTACTGTTTCATAATATATAAATACAGTAATAATAGTATTCCATAAAATGTTGTCTTTTGATCATATTTATTCTTGAACTAAGTTGCAGTCTTCATTTTAAAATGTCCGTTGGTTATTTCACAATATTTTTTGCTAAAAAAAAAATTCTTCAGCAAAATGGAATCGTATGATTTTGCTTGTTAGTCACATATTCATTAAATTATACTTTACTTAAAGGAAAAATTTTCAGTGCCTTACCTGTAGCCATGGAATTACTGTGACCTGAGGGTTTCAGAAAATTGTTGGATTCCTAACAGGAAAATCTGTTTGTAGTGTGCTAGGACACTGTACTAGTCCGAAACTCTGGCAGCACTTGTCAGATGTGCCAGTAAATCCTTCCTTTCTTGCCCTAGGTCCAAGGATCTCATCAAGGAAGCCATCCTTGACAATGACTTTATGAAGAACTTGGAGCTGTCGCAGATCCAGGAGATTGTGGATTGTATGTACCCAGTGGAGTATGGCAAAGACAGTTGCATCATCAAAGAAGGAGATGTGGGGTCGCTGGTGTATGTCATGGAAGGTACGGTTTCTCACCCTGCTCCTTTGACAATCAAATATTTCCCTTTCATCTTATCAGCCTGCACACAGATGATGTGAGGCAATTTCGTTTTTCCCTTTTTTGTTGTTGTTGAGAAACAGTTTGAAAAGAGGTGGAACACTACTTAGATGTTAATTGTATGAAGTGTTTGTGTTTAGAATATTAATATGAGAATCTCATATTTTTCATACACCAGGAAAGTATGATAATGTGAAAGAAAGAATTGCTATTTATCGCACTGAATAAGACCATGCATTGTCAGATCTCTAAGCAAGCTCATAAAGCTTCAGTAGAAGCTCAAGTCTATTCGAAGTGTGTTTGGTTAGATAACAAATTGTCTTTAACCCTACCTTTAACTTTCAGTATATAATTAAGTTTTCTGCCATGGTGCTTCCTTAAAAAGAGAATGCAGTGCTTTCAGTGTTTTATATTTGTGTGTTAGAGACAAAGTATAAAGGTTGGATGGTATTTTAGCTGCCTAATTAATAAGAATGATAGCTTATTTTCATAAATCTCAGACATGCTAAGAAACTGTTTGAAAAAAACTTAAGCACACACTATATAAATATGTTTTATGCTTGGATAGATTTTCATAATGTGTATTTCTAACTTGAAATTTATAATGACATGTTTCTCTTTTGTGGGCAAAAAAGAAATCCGAAATAGTGATTGTTGAGTGCCTTTCAGTTAAAGTCACTACAGTGACCATAATCTTATAAACTGCTGCCGATCCGACCCCAAGCTATAATTCTAACTAGTTCAATGTAACTTTGGCTGATCTTGTGCTAATAGCCTTATGTCAAAATAATTAAAAAAAAAACAAAACCCTGTCATTTAAATTTTTATGAATTTTAATTGAGGAAATGTTTCATTGTTTAATTTTTATCAACACATTCAATCTTCTCAAAATTTAGATAGCGATGTTCTTATTATATTTTCATCTGTGAACATTAATATTTATAAGCAGTATACCATAACAACAATGAATGAATAGAATATAGAGGATCTTTCATGCACTTGCTTATTATGAAGACATTCAGAAAAATAACTAAGGAGTTCACATGTAAAACTCATCTGATTTTTTCCTGTATCTCTCCAATTAAAGGAAGTGTTTTTCATAAGAGGCTTGTTTAACATGTGCCTTAAGTGATTTTTAATTTAGCCTGGGCATTATCCCAAGTATTATTGCGTACATAAATGCCAAAGTTTCTCATCATTTTAACAAAAGAGAATAGTCATATGGTAAGACTTCACTGATTAGGATGAATGGGGAAAGTTATCTGGAGGTAGTGTAAATATATTACCATGTATTTTCAAGCAAAACGACCTGTATGACTTCCAGGTACGTAATTGCTGGCTAGTAGAGGTTTCAGTTTCAAGTTTTAATCAGAATTATTTGGCATTAGTTTTTTAAGGCAGCAGTATAAATAAATTAAGTTGTTAAGGCTCTGCTTATGTTTTAATTATGCTTTCAAATATATAAATGGGTCTTAAAAATACTTGAACAGAATTTATTGCCTTAAACAAATAGACATTGGCCTTAATTATGATGTAACATTTATTGATATCCTTAGACTCTTGCTCTACATTTTTTTAATCAAAAAGATAAACTTCATTCTGCTATCATCTGAAATAAAACAAATTCTGACCTGTTGATTCAGAATTGGTGATGTGAATAAAACATCTTTGGGAAATTACTCTAATATTTTCACTTTGAAAAATGTTTAATTCATATCTATTCATCTATAGATTTGCTCAGAGATACTGATTTTGTGCACTCTCTGTGACCTTTCATGGTGGAAACAGATAGATTACATTTTATTTTCTAAAAACAGCAAGTGTCTTTGACCTTTGGCTCTTTTATGTTAAACTTTTAAATAAAATTATCATTTTTTTATGAGATGTTTGTTATTGATAATAGCTTTTATTAAGTGCTTACATATGCCAGGTACTGATTAATCACTTTACAGGGATTAAAATCTTAATCCTCATGACAAACTTAAAGGGTAAGTGTTACATTGTCTACATGCTAATAGATGAAAACCTGATGTGCAGATAAGTTAAGTAAATTGGCCAAGAACACACCCATACGATGTCTGTGGTGAAAACCTTGGCCATTGGGCTCCAGGGTTTGCATATTTAATATTAACTTTCAAAGCGTATGGATTACAAGCACTATCATACATATCTGTATGGAGATCCCAGTTTTGGGAACAAGATGCACAGCATTAATCCGTAAGATTAAAAAATGGTTTGATAATTAGCAAGAAAACAATAAATCTTGAATCTCAATAGTTCAAAAAGAAATTAACTAGACATTTCCTATAAATGCCTTCAAGACTTTTCTGTATCCTTTAAACATTAAACTGCTTACTAACCTTTGTACAGATTGCCTCCAATCTAATCCTCTCCCCTTATTATAAGTTCCTTTTTTCTTACTGACAAATGGTTGTGATTTGATTGAATCTTGGCCCACCTCTGGACGAAACTCTGCTGTGCACCTCGAAGGCCCTATTTCTTCTGTCTACAATCAATAGCATTGATCGTGTTTTTCTCGCAGGTTTAAAATAAAATATTTTCACAGAAGGAACAATTCTTTCAGCTCATCACACAATTATTGTTTTGATAGGATTTTTGTACCTTAAGTGATCTGTGATTATTTATATCAACTCTGGGACCAACCTCACGTTCCCATTGTTACTGCACTGAGATTTCACTTTTGTCTTCTGAAGGCTAGTCATCTGCTTCTTCTTCCAGCAAGCTGGTTGGTACCAGGTCTGCCTGTTATGCTGATGTCTGCCACTTTTTATTCTTCAACCTGGACATGAATCCTGCTAGTCACCCTTGACAGTAAACATGTACAAATTCATAATGGAACTTGTATTCCTCCCACCCCCTGAAACATTTTTACTGTCTTTATATAATTAAATCATGTACTGAAAGCTGACATTCAAACAGGGTTTTTATACGAAATTGAACATTAATGATGAACCTCACCATGTCAGTTGGCATTCAAAACACTACCTGAGAGTATGAAGAGATGGAATGGATTTTCATGTAAATTAGCTCTCTCAGTAAATTTAACATATTTTATTCACACAAATCAGGTGTTGCCTTTTGACCTTAAGTTTTTCATGCTGATCTAAGAGCTATTTTTAGAATATCTGAAATATCAATGAACTTATTTTTTCAGTTCCTTTATAGGACTGAGCTCGTAATGGTAATGTTAAAGAGCAAGCTTATATAGTGTTCCTACAAAAATAAGACATATATCTATATGAAAAATTATCATAAGCAAAGAGACTCTAGAAGTATTAAATGTGAATATTAAAATACATTTCAGTTATAGAGTCAATGGTAAAAACAGGGAACTGAGATATTCAGAGAACATGTGGGGTGTCATATTTATTTTGGGGTACCACTCTTCAAAAACACTTCAATATACTTGAGCCAGTCTAGGAAACATAACACATATTTTTTTTCAAATTGACATTGTTTCATGTACAGATGGAAGTTTTAGGAGGAAAGGCTATTTTTAAATGCTGAAAGATTGTCACATGAAAAGGCAATTATTTCTCATGAATTTAGAGGACTGAAGAAGGAATTCAAGTTATAGGGAAGAAGACTTTTGAATTAATATTTTTCTAATTAATATGTTGCAAAAGTGAAATGCATAGTCTGATGTGATGGCAAGAACCCCATCTCAGGAGGCATCCTAGCAGTGACTACACAGCGTCTGCACGGAGAAAGTTTGTGTGGGTGGAGGAGGGGTTCCCTGTGTCTGACTTGTATCTTCCATCCCTTCTCCAAATTCCAAGATTCTGCCTGTCAGTCTGTGAATGGATGGCCTTCAAGTTAGCATATGAGAACCCAGTCTTGCTTATGAGAACACAGCCTTCCAAAGGTTTCCTCTTCAAAACCTGCCCCTCTATGGAATGTGCATGTTTACTTTTAAAAGTTTTTGTGCTTTATGTTATATAAAACAAATTAAGACTACGTGCATTTTTCTGCTACTTAATTTTTGCTGTTCAATATTATGTTCTGTATATATCCCAATGTATTTATCCTTTCTACTATTGACTATATGAGGTCTGGTAAAATAACACCCTTTTAATTATAATTTTTTTATTTTTTTAAGATTTTATTTATTTATTTTTAGAGAGGGAAGGGAGAGAGAAAGAGAGAGAGTGAGAGAAACATCAATGTGCAGTTGCTGGGGGGCATGGCCTGCAACACAGGCATGTGCCCTGGCTGGGAATCGAACCTGCGATGCTTTGGTTCACAGCCCATGCTCAATCCACTGAGCTACGCCAGCCAGGGTTATTACAAATTTTTTTTGTTATAAAAATCATAAGCATGTAATTCTATAACATAATATCATATTCAAGCACACCATATGACATTTTAGGTAAAATGTTCAAATTAAAACTATAAATTGTTATACCCATGTATTATTACCCTACCAGCCACACACAAGCAGGCCTTACTTCCGCTGGACACTCTATCTTCCAGTTATTTTGCTTCTAATTACTAATGACACTGAGCACCTTTTTATATGATTGTGTGCTGTTTGTGTTTGTTCTGTGAAGTGTCCATGGTATTCTTCCACCCATTTTTCTGTTGGTTGGTTGGTTGACTTTACACCTTTTGGAGCTTAATCTTTGACAATTACATGTATTTCACATACCTTTTCCCATCTGTAGTTCGCATTTTGACTCCCGTGTGATATCTTCTGATGAACAGAAGTTATTAATTTTAATGTGGTTGAGTATATATGCCTTCTTATTAATTTGTGCTCCTTGTGTCTGTAAGAAATTCTGGAAGGCAGTATTTTGCATGCCTGTGTGTCTGTGTCCACGTATCAGTTAGGTATGTCAGGTGTTATCAATTAAGGGATGTATCCACGTTTGTGATCTAAAAGAGAGTGGTTCTTTTCAAAGCAGGAAGCTGGAAAGGCGATATATTTTCTTCCTAACATGTTT